GATGAATGGGTAAGGAAGATGTGGTCCATATATACTATGGAGTATTATGCCACCGTTGGAAAGGATGAATACCCAACTTTTGTATCAACATGGATGGGACTGGAAGAGATTATGCTGAGTGAAATAAGTCAAGCAGAGAGAGTCAATTATCATATGGTTTCACTTATTTGTGGAGCATAACAAATAACATGGAGGATATGGGGAGATGGAGAGGAGAAGGGAGTTGAGGGAAATTGGAAGGGGAGATGAACCATGTGAGACTGTGGACTCTGAAAAACAATCTGAGGGTTTTGGAGGGGTGGGGCATGGGAGGTTGGGTGAGCCTGGTGGTGGGTATTATGGCGGGCACGTATTACATGGAGCACTGGGTGTAGTGTGCATAAACAATGAATTCAGGAACACTGAAAAGAAATTTAAAAAATAAATAAAAATAAAAATAAAAAAACCCTAGTGTAAAAAAACAAAATTCCTAAAAGAAAACATAACCAGTAAACTCTTGGACATTGGTATTAGCAATATATTTCTGGAAGTGTTTTTTCAAACAAGGGAAACAAAACCAATGGGACTATATTAAACTAAAAAGTTTTGCTTGCAAACAATACTATAAACAAAACAAAAATAAAACATACTAAAGGAGAAAAGATATTTGCAAACAATATATTTGAAAAGGGGTTAAAATCTAAAATATATAAAGAATGTATATATAACTCAACACCAACCACCCCAAATAATCTAATTTAAAAATGAGCAGAGAATCTGCATAGTTTTCCAAAGAAAATATATAGATGTCCAATAGACACATGAAAAGATGTTCAAAAGCATTAATCATCAGAAAAATGAGGATCATAACCACAATGAACTATCACTTCACACCAGTCAGAATGACCAGTTTCAAAAAAAAAATTATAATAATATGTTGGCAGGAATGTGAAGAAAGAAAACCCTTGTGCACTGTTGGTAGGAATGTAGATTGGTGCAGCCACTAAGGAAAAACAGTATGGGGTCCCTCAAAAATTAAATAGTAATGCCATACCATCCAGAAATTCCACTACTGAGTATTTATGAAAAGAAAATGAAAACACTAATTTGAAAAGATACATGCATCATAGGTTTATTGCAGCATTATTTACAATAGCCAAAATGTGGAAGCATCTTAAATGTTTATCAATAGATGAGTGGGTAAACAGGTATGGCATATATATAAATGGAATATTACTCAGACATAAAAATGTATTGTATCTTGACAACATAGATGGCCCTAGAGGGTATTATGCTATGTGAAATGTCAGACAGAGAATGACAAATACCAAATGATTTCACTTATATATAAAATCTAAAAACAAGAAAAATTAAGAAATAAGCAACAATACAGAGACATACTCATAAATAGAGAAAACAGGTGTTTGCCAGAGGAAAGAGGGATGGGTGATGGGAAAAATCAGAGAGGTGACAAGAAAATATAAACTCTCAATCTTGAAATAAACAAGTCATGGGGATAAAAAGAACAGCATACTGACTATAGTCAACTCTATTGTAACTTTGTGTGGTGACAGATCATAACTATACCAACTGGGGTAAGCATTTGTAATATATGCAATTATGAATCACTATGTATATTGTATATCAAATATACTTTGATTCAAAAACAAAAATCTAAAAATCCCTTATTAACTTAAGGACAATTATTGTTATAAGGACGGTGGTTCACTATGATTTCTTAATAAAAAGGATTTATTGTTAAAAAGACATCAAACTGACCTCACAATTCAAAATGTCAACTATCTCAGTGTCTCTCATATAATCAACATTGTCCAATCTCTATGTAACAAAGTAAAACCCACAACTGACAGAATAAACTAACTCAAACATTTATAAGCATAATGTGGGTAAAATTTTACCCAAAAGTATATGAATATTCAATAATGTAAGGTGTACAACTTTTATCAGCAAGATGAAATCAGAACAAGCCTTGGAATCTCTAGTTATTTCCACAATAACAGCTGAATTTTAACCAGTTGTTTCAGTGATTTAAAACACTTTGGGGTGTCTGGGTGGCTCAGATGGTTGAGCATTCAACTTTTGATTTTGGCTCAGGTCATCATCTCTGGGTCCTGGGGTTGAGCCCCATGTCAGGCTCCATGCTCAACAGGGAGTCTTCTCAGGATTCTCTCTCCCCCTCCCTCTACCCCTCCCCACTAGTTCCTCTTTCTTTCTCTCTCTCTCTCTCTCTAAAATAAATAAATAAATATTTAAAAAAAACTTTAATTTTTATCTTGTTGTTACTCTAATAGAATTCAAATTTTCCATTTAAAAGACTTAAAGTTTAGGTGTGTCTGGGTGGCTCAGTCAGTTAAGCATCTGACTCCAGCTCTGGTCGTGATCTCAGGGTCCTGGGATCCATCCCTGACAATAGGCTCCACACACAGAGGGGAGTATGCTTCTCCCTCTCCCTTTGCCCTTCCTCCTGTTTCTGCTCTTTCTCTCAAATAAAGAAAATTTAAATTTCTTTTTAATTTTTCAAAAAGGTTAAGGTTTACATTTTATTTCACATCCCAGAAAATAACACTGTGTTTTTCCAGTAAAAGAGTATCTTTAATACTCCCTGGGGATTAAAAAGAAATCTCATTTTGTAGTCAACACACTTAAGGGAGCATATAAACCTCTCATTAAATAAACACTTCAAGCTCTACTTCATTTCACACAGTTCTAGGAAGGTAAGTATGGACCCAGTAGTGTTTTAAATTCAAAACTATCCAAAACATTAAATAAATTCTAACTCAAAGGCATCTAATACTTCAAAATCTCCATAATGCTTGATATATGGAATTCTTGCAAAGAGATCTAAATTTTTGGCTTGGTACATATTTTACCTCGATATATTCTGATCCTGTCAGGAATTTGCAAAAAATTAGAGTATTTGCCCATTGCTGTATATCCAACAGAAGAGATTTTGTGTCCAAAGAGGGCATACATTCCCCACCAGTTGCTCCTATTTAGTAAGAACCAAACATGTTAACTTTGATTTACTTCTCTGTTTGAGAATTTTATCTTGGCCCAAAGTTCCTAAACTATGATATGTGATTATAATTTTTGTGACTAACATCTAAATAAACAAAAAAAAATTCAAATAAAGACCCAACAAACATATATTTTCACTGACTAAAAATAGTTCTCAACTCTTCTCACCAGTCAACACAAAATCCATAAACTAATTTTGTCCATTCAAATTGTTATAACAGAATACCATAGATTAGATGGCTTACAAGTATCTGTCTATTTATCTGTCTATTCAATCATAGTTCTGGAGGCTGGTAGTCAGGGACCAGATTGCCAACATGGTTGAGCGAGGGCCCTTCTTGTATCCTCACGTGACAGAAGGGGCTAGCTATGAGCTCTTCTTTACTAGAACATTAACCCTATTCATGAATGCTTATCCTTATAACCAATTTACCTCCCAAGCCTCACCTACTCATACCAATACCTTTGGTGGTTAGGATTTCAACATATTCAAATAATATGCAAATATCTGTAAATAATACCTCTTTTATGGCTGAGTAAAACTTGTACAAAGATGAAATATATAGTCTGTTATAAAAAGAAAGGCAAACAGTTAACTAAACTTTACCAAACAACACCTTTAATCTTATCCTTCTAATTAGGGTGCCTGCAGGCTGGTAGGGATATTCTCCAGCAGGGTACTGCCAGAAGCTTGTGGGAAGATTTCCTGCTGAAGTCCTGAATCCACATTGACACTGTATTCTTTTCAGGATCTTTGAAATTATTGTCTGCTTTCTTTCCTTTCTTTGCCTGCTCGTCATGGAGGTACATTCTCACAAATCAGTCCTGCTGAAAAGAAACAATTTTCTCCAGTTTTGACCCCCACAAGTAGATTAACCCAACAATCACCCACTACTTTCCAACTTCTCCTTGGGGAAGTCACCTCTTTCTACCATCTCTGTGAGGAACATCTCTGTAACCACTGACAGAGAGTTTAGTCCTATGCAGTGTCACCTGGGGAGGGGGACAGCTTTAGTAGAGTTCCTCTTTGTCCACTGCTTCCAAAGTCATTTTTATTCTGCTCAAATGGCAATGCTGAAATCTCCACTATGACAGGCTGGACTTTTATAAATTTTATCTCACCTGTGTGTTTCTGTCCAGACAGCACATTCCAGATTTTTTTCCTTGACCAAAGCAAGTGGAGGAGAGACAGGTTTACTCCCTTGGATCCATTCTTACTGAGGTCTTGTTTGTTTATACTGATGCACAGATGAGCAAAGGTTCTCTTGGATTCCTCCCAGGTGCTGAGGTCCTCTTTTTTAATGTATGGATGTCTAATTCATTGTTTAAAAAAATGGGAGGGGGGATAAATGAGCAGTATCTATGCCACCATGTTGCTGACATCACCACCCGCACTATATTTAATTCATCGCTCTCTTTTTTTCAAATATTATTTTGCCTTTTCTTGCTAACAATACTCCCTAACAGATGAAACACTTTATTTGTAGATATAAAATATCTCTGAGTTATTCATTAATCTAATAAAGTTACAGATGGCTACTGATGTTTGTATACTTGTAAAATGATTTAAATAGGCTCAAACTTCTTTCTGGAACCTGAGGTAATTCAAGTATTCCATAATATGGTTCAATGCTGAGAAAATAGTATGGGGCCAGGACAACAGTATGAGCAAAAGTTCTGAAGATAAAGTGCTTCTACTGTGTGCAGGGAGCACATAAGATAGGGATAAAAAATACAGTCCTATCTATTCATATTGAAGAGTAATTAAGAGATGAAACTTGATGGAGCTGATGGAGCCAGAATAGGAGAACTTTTATCCAGTTGCCATGGTCTTTAGAATTGAGAAAGTCTTGTTGCTAAGCAGTTCAATCTAGAACACAATCTAATGATAGAAGAAAGGGAGGGGATTGTTATTTCTCTTTTTTATAAAAAGTTGCAGATCAAAGTCTTTGTACATAAAGAGGTAGTTTGTACTACCTCTATCTATGATAGGGCTATATTTAAAAAAGATAGTGGGAACCATTTATTCTACTGTGGGTAAGTCTTTCAAGAATTTAGCTATAAAGGAGAGAAGCACTAGTATTTGTGCATATGTATATACACACACACAAACATACACATCACATGATTCTTTGCCAATTTTTTAATCTTCAAGAGGATCTGTGACCTGGATTATGTCTTATTCTGGTCTATTTTAGTTGGTTAAATGAACAAAATTGTATTTTTAATGGGTTATAACTGATAGTTTGAGAAAAACTGATAGACTATAAATGGGAGTGAGAGTGCAGGTAAATAGAGTTAATACTTGATAAAGCCTTGGGAAAGGTAAAAAATGAATTGTAAAAGATGATATATGACCATCTACTTGGAAGTCTCTGTACCATTATGGCACTTTACCACATTATTAGTGAAAATGGTTATTAAGAATGGAATTAAGTGTTGAATAAGAATAAGAGTTGTGGTTAATGGTTTAATATGTAAGAATCAGAACAATGGAGGATGATAAGGGTTAGGAGTAGGGTTATGGTTAGGATTACAGTTAGAGTTTGATAATTAGATACAGGTGATACCAAAATAAAATGCTTAGCCATAGACCAATGGCTAAATGTTGAAAATGAGTTATAAACTAAAATAAACTAGGTGTTACATGGGTTGTCCACATGCTCACCAATTCTAAAATGTGGGTAAAATTACATTAATAAATCAGACACTTGGGGTGCCTGGGTGGCTCAGTGGGTTAAAGCCACTGCCTTGGGCTCAGGTCATGATCCCAGGGTCCTGGGATCGAGCCCCACATCTGGCTCTCTGCTTGGCAGGGAGTCTGTTTCCTCCTCTCTCTCTCTCTCTCTCTCTACCTGTCTCTCTGCCTACTTGTGATCTCTGTCAAATAAATAAAATCTTAAAAAAAAATCAGACACCTAATTTCTTGAGGTTTATGTAGCATTGATGTGGGTGTTAGTGTATGAGTAATAATGCAAGCTAAATAGTGATCTAATGAGATGGCTACCAGTCTAGTGGTTTGGAAGTGGTTTCGGCAATCAGTGGAAACTGGGACCAGTCATCTGTTCTGCATGCCATACAAGAATACTGAGAATGAAAATATTTCTGTCTGGCTTTGAATTGTTGACTGGTATGTTTAGTAAAATGAAGTAGGAATAAGGAACTTTCCCTTAGAAAGTGAGAGTAGAGAGATCTTTGTTTTTTATGAAAGGAAGTTTCCATAGGTAACACAATGATTCTGCAGAAAAGAGGTCAGGTATAAAGAGTAGGAGATAATCGGTCCTTAATCATGCATCTTTTACTTTTACGTTACCTACTATGGGAGGTGATTTGATCAGTTTACATTAGATAAATACAAATAGACAAATAGATAAATAGTTGACTTCACTTTTCTGGTTTTTCAACCAGAGAAAGAGTTCTTAGTTTCATTACCTCAAGCATTCATATTACTTTAATGATCTCATAAAGACTGTGCTATTCTCACTAGATACTAAAAATAAACAATGTATATATAAAATATTGAAATTTTACAAATTTTTAATGTGTAGCTTTAGCCCAAGCACTCTGTCCAAACTTAAGACCATTAATATCTCCAGACCATTAGTCTCATAACATATATGTTCATTTATATTTCTGAATGGGTTGCACCATTATCTTGCTTCTATTTTTCATATAAAATGTGTATATGTAATTTTATTTATGAAATAAATACATTTTACTGTCAAACCCAGGAAGAGGTTATCTTGCAATCTTATAAATTCAGGTTTTGATGCCAATATTTGTGAAAACAATTGATGCTTCGGTTCTTGCAGTTTCACAGGCTTAGATGAAAAGAGGAATACAGGAAAGAGACAGGATAATTAATAATTTGTCACATGGAAGCATATATTACAGACAATAAGAAAAAATAATAATATATGTGAGTAATCTTTACATCTTGCCTGAGTAATGTATGTGACTAAATAATTTATCATTTGAAAGTGAAAGGAAGACCTATATAGTGATATTCACATCCAGCCCATATGTATAAATTGAGACTGCTACATTAAAACATGATAGGTATTCATGCTACCATTAATACCGTTTTGTTTTAAGTATTTACTGTGAAAATGTTGGCACACATTCATATATTTACAGAACAGTATAAGAATCAATATGTGTCCTTCATCTAGAGTCAACCTATGGCTGATCACCACTGTTTTGTTCACACAGTCCCACTCTGCCTTGCCATTAAGAGAAAACTCAATGCAGTATACTGAGCCATGATCCAAACACTAACCCATTTTAACTCATAGCCTTCTCTTTACCCTCCACCTTGACTTGCTTTTATCTCCCACCCCTGTCTCTGCCCTTCTTTTTTCTTTTAGTGTTGCTGCTCTGATGGTGTGACGGCTAGAAGACAGATCTTAAATATCAACACTTTATTTATCAGCCTACATCCAGCTCAGAGGGAGGAGGCAGAGAGTAATGTTTCCTGGCTTGCTCTGGTTTGTTCTCACCAATGGCTGAATATGGTGGCTCCAGAATGGCTGTGGGTGAGGTCCTGGTACATGTGAGGATCACTGTCCCCATTCTTTGGCTGAGGGGGTTTCTGCTCCTTTATGGATGGTCCCATATTGGATACTCCTATCGCCATGGTCCCCCAGAAGTGGTGATTCCTTTGAGGATGACAGGCACTGGCAGTGTCAAGAAGCCTCCAGGCTGGATCTCTTACTGTCTGCATCTTGGAGGCCAGAGACATGTTTTCCATATGAAGGTCAAGAAGCTTTTGCTGTCCAAAAACTTCCCAGTGTTCACATACACAGACCAGGGTGCTCTTTTTGAAGACCAGCCATTTGTCCAGAAAGATTGCTATTACCATGGTTACGTGGAGGGGCATCCGGATTCATTGGTTTCTCTGAGTACCTGTTTTGGGAACTTTCAAGGAATATTACAGATAAATCACATCGTTTATGAGATTTTGCCCAAAAGCCTTTCTACCACATTTGAACATCTGGTATTTAAGATATATGATGAGGAGAAACAATTCCCACTCATGAGGTGTGGGTTGACAGATGAAAAAATAGTACAACAAATGAAGTTTCAAGAAAGCAATAATTCTACTTTGAAAAGTGGATATGGAGGTCTGTGGACACACAAGAGATTTGTTGAAATGGCAGTGGTGGTAGACTACCATCGATACGCTTATCGTGAATATAATGTCACAGCTGTGGAACTGGAAGTGATTACAACTATGAACCATGTAAATACCTTCTATCAACCCTTAAATACTGATGTGAGTTTAGTTGGAATAGAGGTCTGGACTAAAGGAAACCCTGTGGAAATAAAGAACATGGGTGTACTCATGAATTTATTTTGTGCCTGGAAGGAAAAAGGCTTTAACATCCGTGTGCCCCACGATGCTGCCCATGTTTTTGTAAAAAGAGGATATGGTACATTTGGTATATCTTATGTCAGATCAATATGTAACTACAATACTAATTGTGCAGTGGATACCTTCACAAGTGATGATTTGGGGTTTTTTGCATTCATTGTGTCACATGAGCTTGGTCATTCTCTGGGTATGGGGCATGATGAGGAAACATGTAAATGTGCAGACAATGGGTGCATAATGTATGCAGCACAGCCATGGTCAACCAAATTCAGCAATTGCAGTTATGCTCAATATTGGCACACCTCTGCAGGATCCAGATGTATCTTCTACCCACCCACTCCAGAGAGAAGCTTCAAGTTTACACGCTGTGGGAATGGCATGGTTGAAGGAGAAGAAGAGTGTGACTGTGGCTCCTTAAACTTGTGTACAAAAGATCCATGCTGTCAGTTAGACTGTACTCTGAGTCCTGGGGCTACTTGTGCTTTTGGGCTTTGTTGCAAAGACTGCAAATTCATGCCATCAGGTGCTTTATGTAGAGAACAGGCAAATCAATGTGATCTTCCCGAGTGGTGCAATGGGACATCCTATCAATGCCCAGAAGATGTGTATGTGCAAGATGGAATCGAATGCCCAGGGGGTGGCTACTGCTATGAAAAGAGATGCAATATCCGTGATGAACTGTGTAGCAAAATTTTTGGCCCAAATGCCAAGAGTGCAAGTCAGATTTGCTACAGTACAGTGAATATTCAAGGAGACCGTTTTGGTAACTGTGGTCTCAAGGGCCATCAATTTACAAAATGTAACACCTCAGATACCCTGTGTGGGAGGGTGCAGTGTAAGGATGTGGCAAAAATCCCCACTCTGAGAGACCATTCTACTCTGCATTGGCTTCACCTCAACGATAATGTCTGTTGGGGTATAGACTTCCATCATGGGATGCCCTTGCCTGATCTTGGTGAAGTGAAAGATGGTACAGAGTGTGGTAAAGACCATATCTGTGTCCAAAGGAAGTGTATCCCTTTGGCATATTTGAAAACCAGTTGTTCGCCCGAGACCTGCAGTAGGAATGGGATCTGCAACAATAGACATCACTGCCATTGTGGCAATGAGTGGAACCCCCCTGACTGCCAGGTAAGAGGCACAGGAGGCAGTGTTGACAGTGGTCCACCCCCAACAAGAAATAAGACTGGAGTGTCACAGAAGCAGGAGCAGAAGACTTATCAGTTATTATTTTGGTTGATGCCTTTTTTGGCTTTATTATGTTGTTTGTTAATTTCGTTTTTTATGAGAAGGAAGAACAAGGATAAGAAAGAAGAGCAGAATGTTCCACATGCACCCAATGCACAGCAGAATGAGCCACCTGTAACTAATCAAGATGTGAGTGATCCACCTGCACCTGAGAATGAAAACTAAAAAGTTATGATTTCCAAAAGGAAACCCAACCCAAATGAATTTGCCCATTTGATAAATTTTAGTCCCCTGGCAGGAAAAATGTTACAGCTTATACCACAGATCACTGACAGAAAATCCCTGAGATTTTTTTTTATCACTTGGGATCATACACACTAGCCATTGAACAATAAGCAAAATATACTAATTCTCAGCACAGCTCTCTTTTCCATTATTTTAGGCAATTTCAGCAATTTTTATGGAATTATTCTGCGTTTCCTGAGCAATGGCAGTGCCCTCGGAGGGGTGTGTGTGTGTGTGTGTGTGTGTGTGTGTGTTTAGCTTGCTGTCTGACAATTCCAAACAACCTTTCCCTTTGAAATCTGCTTTCATACACAGGGAATAGGAAACTACAAATCACATTTCTCCTTTGCGAGTCCTCCATTTTTAGCTACCACGAATAGTAGACGCTAGAGGGAAACTGCACATGGGAAATGTTTTGAATGTTGTTCATATCAGAGCTGCCTCACTGACTCTCACCCTGGCAAAGGAAGCGCCTTACAATCTTTATATTACCATATACAGATATAAATGTAGTACAGATTAGGACAGAATGATATGATATACTATATATATACATATACATATAGCTATAATATATATGCACACACTTTTTTTTTTTTTTTTTTTTTTTTTGGTAATTCCCAGAGCCAACAGTACTGTCAGCCTCAGAGATATTAGCACAACTATAAAGAGTCTTGCCCTTGGAGCTCTAGATCCCAGGCCTCTGAGCCCTTCACCAGATCCCTGAGGTTCACCACCACTTTGGCCAACCCTCTCCTCAGAGGTCAGAGTCCTAGATCCATGAGACCTACTCCAAAGGTGTAGATTACAATAAGCACACTTCTTCCCTTTGATCTCCAGTCTTTGGCTCAATAGCTGCACTTCCTTTTAGGAAAGCATGGCTTCTTAGAGAGGGCTTTGCTTGTTGTGCCTGAATTCTGACTGATAGAGTACTAACTTTAGAATAACAGAAAACACAGGAAGGAGTCTTACATCAAAAGCTTTTGAATTTTTCACACCACTGCCTTTACCATCTTGGGGACATATTTTATACTCTGGTAGAATTACTTCAAAATCTCAAAAGAAAGGAAAATGGTACTTGCCACTCAACCCTCGGTAACTTCACTTGTAAAATAAGATAAAGAAGATATTTACAATTCCATGTAGGATATCTAAGTCTTAACAGACCATGTGTCCTCTCCAAAGGAAAAACAAAACAAACAAAACAAAACAAAAAACAAAACACCTAGAAAATCCTAATTTTATTTTTTTTTCTTTTAAAAGATTTTTATTTATTTATTTGAGAGAGAGACAGTGAGAGAGAGCATGAGAGATGAGAAGGTCAGAGGGAGAAGCAGACTCCCCATGGAGCTGGGAGCCCAATGCGGGACTCAATCCTGGGACTCTGGGATCCTGATCCGAACCTAAGACAGCCACTTAACCAACTGAGCCACCCAGGTGCCCAAATCCTAATTTTATTTTAACCCATGTTTTAAGGACATCAGAGAGCTGAGGAAATAATATGGAATAGGTGAACTGAAATTTCAGGCAGGATAAAACAATTCTAAAAAGGGCTGTAAGCCCTACTAGAGTTTCTGGTTTTGGTGTGGTAGATTTTACACCAATAATTCAATTCTTTTACTATTGATTGTTCAGAGTTTAAAACTGACTTCTGTGTATGTCACATCTTCCAAAAAAAAAAAAAAAAAGTCCACCCAGCATTTAAAATTTACTATTGTTAAGTTTCCATACTTAACAATATGTTCAACATTGTATTATTCTCCCTTGAATTTGTTGTCTTATCTTCATTTTTTGTCCTATAGTTTATCTCTTTCATTTTTTCTTAATATCTCCAAAGATTTTCATACTATAAAAGCCATTAATTCTTAACAGTACCAGTTAGAAGGTAGGGGAGGGGAGACTGTCCTCCCTACTGAGAAGGCACCTTGAGACCTCAATATAACACAGGTGAGTCCACACAATTTATGCAGAGTTTTACTCAGGATAACTGGCTGACAGAGGGGACCGGATGTGCAGCAGTACAGAGGAGCACAGCTATTCTCTGCAATGTCTAGACCTTAGTCCATAGATATTATAGAACAAGGAGACATGCAGAAGACATTGTAACGAGATCAAAGGGTTCACATGCACCTAACAGATAGCTGACCTTGAGTTCTTGGGGTATCACCTGTGAGTCAGGAAGACAAGAAACTGTGTTATCTCAGGGTGCCTGGGTGGCTCAGTGGGTTAAAGCCTCTGCCTTCGGCTCAGGTCATGATGGCAGAGTCCTGGGATTGAGCCCTGCATCTGGCTCTTTGCTCGGCAGGGAGCCTGCTTCCTCCTCTCTCTCTGCCTGCCTCTCTGCCTACTTGTGATCTCTCTCCTCTGTCAAATAAATAAATAAAATCTTAAAAAAAAAAAAAAAGAAAAGAAACTGTGTTATTTTTAACAAATGTATGGAGGACTAGAGCAAGCCTTTTCCTGATCACAGCCTAGGCAGGTATTTTCTAAGTTACATGTATATTAATCTCCAAGAGGCCTGGAACATGTAGCCCCAAGAGAGGAGAAACAAGAACAAGATGGAGGGCTAAAGGCAGAGTCAGTATGGTCAACATTCCTACACCACCTAAATTCATGTCCTTTTCTATGTTCGTGTATCTTCAGTGCTTTATTTTCTAATTTCTTGGTTAAATACTTAACTTTTTAATATTTACTGCTTTTTCTGATATAATATACAATCCAATGATCTAACTTAGACTCTATAATTTCTTAGCTATCATTTTATTATGTATATCCATTGATAAATTTTATGATTTTTAATAATCATGTTAAACTAATTCTAAATGATCTGAAAAATGTGGATTTTACTGTAATATGAATATGACAATTTGTCCTAAGAAATCAGTGCTCGTATGTTCCTTTGAATACTAGGTAGTATAGTTAAGTACAGAATTCTAGCCCAGTGAAATAAGAGTCATAAGATTAACATGGTAAAAGTAAATAAAATCCATTAAAGAGGTTGTTAAGTCACATACCAAAGTTACATCACTCAAGGAAATACATGCACCACCTCTAGAGGAATTGAATCAATCTATCAAAAGGAAAATGAAGGGTGCCTGGGTGGCTCAATGGGTTAAAGCCTCTGCCTTCAGCTCAGGTCACGATCCCAGGGTCCTTATCGAGCTCTCTGCTTGGCGGAGAGACTGTTTCCCCCCTCTCTCTGCCTGTCTCTCTGTATACTTGTGATCTCTGTCAAATAAATAAAAATCTTTGAAAAAAAAAAATCATCCACCATGATCAAGTGGGATTTTAAAAAAGAAAAGAAAGAAAAATGAAAATTCATAACTCAGTTCTTATTTGGTTAGTTTAACAACTAATGAAAAAGTTCAGGTCAAAATATTGGTCAGGCAGTTGTGTTTTGAAGTAAGCATCTCCATAAGTCAAATAGCGAAATTGTTATCAAATCTCCATATAAATTTTTTCTTAGTATTTATAGACTTGATCATAATCATTCTAAATACTATACCTTCCCTTTCTTTCTCATGTTCTAAGTTTCCATTATGTAACTGTGTTACTCAGTTGCTTGAAAATTGTTGCTGACTAGTGGTAGAAAGAATGACTTATTATGAATTTAGAGTAAATAAGATTTACTAATTGTTGGAATAATAGCTAATCATTGACTGTAGCTCAACAAAATTTAAATAATATACACATCACTAGAGAAATTACATTTTATAATAAGTTGCTTTCCCAAGTCGACCTGTCAACCTCCTCTTTTATTTCAAAACATTGGTGCTATTAATTAATGAAAAGCTCCTTCTAGGGGTGCCTGGTGGTTGAGTGGGTTAAGCCTCTGCTTTTGGCTCAGGTTATGATCTCAGGGTCCTGGGATCAAGCCCTTCATCGGGCTCTCTGCTCAGCAGGGGCCTGCTTCCTGCCCCCTTTCTGCCTGCCTCTCTGCCTACTTGTGATCACTCTCTCTCTGTTAAATAAATAAATAAAATCTTTAAAAAGAAAAAAAAAAAGAAAAGAAAAATTCCAGCTAAATGAGCATGGATTTACTTTATTATCATTATTATTATTGGTCACACTATTTTACCCACAGTATGGATGTATTTATTTGTTTGTTTGCTGATTTTTTTTCCAATTTTTTATTGAAATTCCAGTTAATAGTTATAGGATTTAATGATTGATCACTTACATATGTCACCCAGTGCATGGATTTTAATTATTTTTTAATTACTTCTAATTTTTAAGTAAGGTCCATGCCAAGCATGCAGCCTAAATAGGGTTTTGAACTCATGACCCTGACATCAAGAACTGAGCTGAGATCAAGAGTCAGAAACTCAACCATCTGAGTCACTCGCCCTGACTTTTTAATTTTATGTCTTCAGCTTCTTCCTTGTGTATTGTCTCAGTACACTTCCCATTACATATCTATAATTAGATTCACTTTCATTCTGTAAAATGACTTTCCTAGTTGATTTCACCATTTGTTTTTCCATTTGATTTTTAATTTCATTTTTTTATGTTTAAAAACATTCTATGAACTAAAACAGACAAAATCTCCACCTATTCTAATTAAACATGTGTCCTAGCATAAGCCATATATCTGAAGAGAAATCAGAACACATAGATAAGAAACAAATGGAAAATCTTGAGATGAAATAAATAATATCAAAAAAATGATTAGAAGAGATCAGCAGACTTCCCTGCAGGCAGAATAAAGAATGCTTTGAAAATAGATTATTAAGAATCTCACAAACAAAAGAAAAAAAAAAAGAGAAAGAAATATTGACCAGGCCTCTTAGAAATAAGTGACCCATAGTGAAACAATGTCTTCCTTTTTAAAAAAAAAATTGCTAAAAATAAGCTGTTAAACATCATTTCTGTTCACATCTCTCTTGCTACTTTTTTGGGTTCCAAATTAGGGATGCTAGAACTTTTCAAATGTATTTTGCTTTAATTTTTCTGCATACAGGAGTGTGGGGATTTTTCCACTGACGTTTTCCAGATGAGTAATTCTGTAATCTGATATGCCCAAACCACTGTTCAAACCGTTCATTGAATTGCCTATTATGTATTGTATGTTTTAGTTCTATAATATCTACTTGAAATTGTTGTATAGATTCCAACATACTGAGCA